AATCAATTAATTTTGTTTTATAAATATTGTCTTATTTTAAATATTTCAACATTAAAATTTTATTATATTTTTATTCAATTTTATATTTTAATCATCTCTTACGTTTTTTTAGAATAATATTAAAATCATTTTCCATAATCCTCTTTTGTCTAGCTTCACCATGTTTCAGTATAATTTGTAGCGTCTTAATTCTCTGCCACCATGATATTTCTAGGAAGGCAGGTGATCAAAAAAAGTAAAATATTTATTTTATTTAATTTAACATTTTAAATTTATATAACTGTTTTTTACAAAAATATATTACACTTTATATACATTTTCAATAATGAGTTTTTGTAACTATTCACAAAATAAAAATAAGGTTTGTTAAAGACAATTTTTAAAAGACAATTTGTAAAAGATATTTTGAATATCATATAATATAAAAACCTTCAAAAAATATAAATATAATATGTCATATTCAACATTTATAAACTAGATTTTACCGGAAATTAATTCCATTATGTTTGAAATATTTGCATTATGAATTTCAGACAATTTTGCCATGAACATTTGAATTTAATATAATTTATAATCGTTTTTCCATAAACATTTTTGAATTATAAATGACCTAAAGGTCAACCACAAAATTGTTTACATCATAAGATATATTCCAAACATACTGAAATACATTTCTGTAAAATGGGATATTTAAAAAACTAACTGAAAAAATGATTTAAAATTGACAAAATAACCCATTCCCAGAAAAAACACATCCTCGTTAAAATTACATACATTTTAAAAATATTTATAATCTTTAAAAATAGGATGTTTAAAATTATATTATGATGAAAACAAATTTAAAGGTACCACAATAACGAATGAATAATTGTTATGTATAATCATGATCAGGTATATAAAAAATTATAATATATCAATAAAGTGCCTTACAAGTATTTTTGTTTAATTAATTAGATAGATTTTAACATATCTCTATTTTTATATTTAATATATGTAATTTACTTCATTATTTATAAATTCTTTCGTTAATTTTAACAATTGACGATAAATTATTAAATTAAGTAAATATTAGATTATTAGCGCCATCTATTGTCATATAAATTATTTTTAGATTTTAAAAAATAATTTGAATGATAATTAATTAAAATATTTGTTTCCTAGATTATAATATTCGAAAGCAAAACATATTCTATTTGATAAAATCTTATCGTTTCTTCATTCATTAATTTATTCTCTTTTTTTTCTTTTTTTTAGATTTTTTTTATATTTTAAGCTGTCTTTTTTTAAAAAAAGATTTTTATATTTTGGATGGGGGTTCCAAAAATTATTTAGGTATCTTACCTAACATATGGTAATATATTCTGTATTATATACATGTATATAATATATATAATTTAATATATATATCAGAGAGCTGTAAAGGTACCATTTGAAAGGTCCGGCCCGGATTCTTTAAAAATATATTATATTAATATTTATAGCTAATAATTGCGATTTAAAATATTTTTCTGTTATACGGTCAAGCCCGGGTATATTTTTTTAAAATAATTTAGGCTCTAAAAATTAGGCTAAGTTTAACAGTAACTTCTTTTTATTGTTAACGATTATGGTTAAAAATTTTATTTTGGAAATCCTTTTATATTCTCCTGGAATTATTTTTATTTTGTTGTATCAAAATTTTTATAAACTTTTAAAAATTTTATTTTGGGAAATTTTTTAGGGAATATATTTATGGAAATTTTTTCCGCGAAATTATTTTCTGTGGGAATTTTTCCCCAAGAATTAGTTTCCTTTAACTTTTCCTAAGATATATTTTTGGAAATTTCTTTTTGGTCGATTTCTTTTCACAGAATAATTTTCTGAGCACTGTGCTATTTTCGGGGAATAATTTCCTGATTTCAGTTAATGTACCAGGCTGACTTAATTAAATCACCCGATTAACTTTTAGACTGGCCATGTTTCCATCGATCTTCTAGAGTGCTATGAATTCATAGCGGGACTAGCTAATTAGATGACATTATTGTCGTGGGAGAAACATTAAAGATACATAAAAGCAATTTAGACAACGTCCTACGAACCTTAAAATAACACTATTAAATTAATTTTAATAAATGCAAATTATTTAAAGTAAATTAAGTTTTTGGGCCAAACGATATCAGATGACGGCATGCATATTGTAAATATAAATGTATAAATTCTGAACGCTCGGTATCCAAATTAACTGTTGATTATTTATTACACCTACATTGTAAGGTATATTTTAAATAATGATTTATATCCTATGATATGCCTATACGACTATGATGTGTATATACGACGATGTGGAGATTCACGCATTAAATATATTTGAAAGTCTACACATATAGGAGTCAATTGCTGCGCCATTTTTGTTTGCAAGTCAATTAAATTACATTAAATGTGCAATAAAATAATGATAACTAAGATAATTAATCACCGTGCGAACCAAAAAATAGCACATTATGAGCTTCTACGCAGCGTCTACATGACAGGATTTTTACTAGATGCTAACCCCCTTCAAAAACCTTTGCCTACCCCCCTAAAAAAAATTTACCCAACTTCAGCGGCTGTGTCTCTTTATTATTATTTTTACCTTTTAAATTTATTGATACTCTTTTCAGAGAATTTATAAAGGTAACCTAAATTAATCTATCTCTACTACCAACTATCGATATTTTGTGAATATAAAGAATTTATTTTTTAGATAATAAATTCAATTAAAACCTCTATTATTTACAATGAATTAATTATTATGGCATTATGAGCTTGCTGAAATGATAGCAGAAAGTTTTATTTGGAAATTTAATAGATAGCCCCCCCCCCCCCAAATTTATTTTACCACCATATAAGCAGCCTACCCCTGCCCTCCTCAAAATAATAGGATGCAAACTGTTCCTACCCCTCCCGCTTATGTAGACTCTGCTTCTACGTATTTATACTTTTAATTATTAAATCGTTAATCTAGTAGTTTGTATAAATCATTACTCATATAATATATATATATAAATCATACTTCATATCTGTAAAAACCTTCCCTTAAGAGGTTAGGAAAATAAATAAAAGGGTAAGTCATACCGAACTGTCAGCCTGGTATTTTTAAGCCAAAGCTACAACTCTTAGTTAAACACACATAAGATTAATTCATTTACAGCAAGGCATTCCTCTGGGAATGAATCCGTCCATTGCCTGGGACAACGAATTTTCTGAAACCAACCCCTTATAGAATTTGTAATGCGTAATGACTAAAATATTAGAAATAAACGGGTAAAATAATTATAATGCTAAAAATGGTTAATAAGATTTTCTCATTGCTATTTGTTTAATAAATTTGATCTGCTCAATGAGATATATAGATATATACTAGTTCTATCATACATAGAGTCCGCGGTAGCGCCATTTTTTGTTTTCACCTAAAATAATTGTCTTTTTTTTATCATTATATGAATGCACATTAATGTTATTAAATAGATAGGATCATAAAATGGCGCTATAGCTGATCATTAAGCATGAACCATTTTAAATACCCGGAATGAATCGCTAATCTAGTATTATATATTCAATTGATCTGTTCCAAGCGACGTGAATAAAAGTGAAACTTAGGGCGGCATAATTGACGCGTATATCAAAACTAAGAAAATTAATATACGATATAAAATTAATTCTATATAACATGAAAAAGATATATTAAAATTAATACTTATATATAACAGTTGAATCATTATACAACATTTAATATAATATATTGTTATTTATCTGAAATATATATGTACATAATATAATTATAAAAGCTAGTTAAATTTTTCTAGCCAGGGATAGGCCATCATTATCATGAAATTCCATTATGTCTAAAAATACAAGGTGTGTGCTATTTATCTTTTTCATACTAATAGTTTATTAATAAGTCAAAATCAAGAACTTGATATTGGAAATTAGGTCGAACAATGCTAGTTACGTAGCCACCAGTAAATTAGTAAAAGTGGTACCAGCATAACAGCCTATATTTTTTTCACTAAGGTTTACGGGCAGTGACCATTTGTACATTGTCCTGCCCATTAATTTTTTAAAAAAAAGTATATAAATTTCCCTTATTAACAGCTTCAAAAACATCTTACACATTTGGGCCGAACCAGTAAAAAATATTTTACACAACTTGTCTGCCCGGATTTTCCTGATCCTATTTAGCAATATTTTAAATAGAATAATTAATTGCAAACAGTATTTATTCATTAATCTTCTACAATTTCATTCTTTATAATCAGCATGACATCTTCATTTGTATCAAAGATAAATGATTGTCGCCAATTTAATAAATTAGATTACCTATATAATTATATTTACATCCATGACTGCGCCAATAAAAGAAATAGAATAATTCCAAACACAATATTTATTCATCCATATAACACGAATAAGAGCCAGGATATAAAAATATATAGATCTGGATATCACATTATAATAGATTCTATGGGTGTTAGGTAGTTAACTTTCACCTAATATTATATCAATCATAAATAATTCAATCATTATAAAAATATTCATAATTAAACGATTATACTAATTTAATGATATACAAATAATATAAAATATAAAATGGTATATTCCTTCATATATTTCCATAATATCAATAATAAATATATATTCATTTTTACTACAACAAACAGCAAGGAACATTAAATGTTAAATAAGAATAAAAATGTAATTCAATTATTGGAAAAAATAGGATGTAAAACTATATCATCGATACCTGCTTTATTTGGTAAACACTTTTAAAACAAGACTAACTTAAATTCTCACTAATTTATTATTATGTAGAAATGTTTACCAATTTAAATGACAAAATTTTATTTATAAAACAACATTCCTAAATAAAAATTATAAAAATTGATATACAATTTTATAAAGTTGCATATTTAATATATTAAATTTATTTATATAACTAACTATAAAATATTATGATATCAAATATTAAAATTTATTTAGAATTAAAATAAATATATTTATTTCAATAAAAAAAATCACATTGTTTTATCGATCAAACTCATCTGCCATATTGTAGGCGGTTTCTTGAACAACATTTCAATTATAATTTGCACACATTGGTAAAATTCAAATTTTTATAATACTAATTGAAATAAAATACTTAAAACCCCAAATATTCTATGCATATTCTCTATTAAAAATTATTGAAGATAAATTCTAAAATCCATCATGCCAAAAGCGGTAATTAATATTTTATTTATCTTAATTATAAGATCAACCCTTTGCACAATAAAACTTTATATATAAATATATGTCAAATTTAGTATTTTTAATTATTCAAATAGTGTTTCATATTAAATATATAAATGAAAAAATACATTAAAATATAATATGTTATTATTTTAAATTGAAACTAAGATCAATGTGAGGGTTATGACTATGGATGCTGAGTTGGAGTTTGCCATCCAACCTAACACCACAGGGAAGCAACTGTTTGATCAAGTATTTAAATATTTATAAATTATGATTTTTATACCAATATTATAAATATATTTATAATTACTATCAATATTTCATATAATATAGGACATATTGGTCTTTTATTTTTTGCATATTTTTTTAAAATATTTAATAATAAATTACTTGTTAATTTTATTTTTTAAAACTTTAATTAATTCATATCAAAAAAATCAAACAATTTTAATTTAACAAATCAATGTTTGACAGAAAATATGAAATGGTATTATGCTGTGATATAAATAAGCTCACCAAACTCATATTTATCTTGATCTATTACTGAAATTATTTTGATATGCTTTTCTTATATTTTAATTGTTTCTTATATTATAACCAACTAACTATAAGACATGAATATTACATTTATTCAATTATTTATAAAAAAAATCACAAAATAGATTTATAAAATTATTTAAAAAAAGATTTTATTAATATATCTTTTGTTTAAACATAGATTCTTATTGTATTGTTTTTACATGATGTTTTTTAAATTTTCCTTTACAGAATTTTATTTATTAAAAATTATAATTTACAAAAAGGTATTTTCTATTTTTGCCATTAAAATTCTCAGGCCATAATGCATATGTATTTTTTTGAAATGCTTGTTAACTTCTTCGCTTCAAGATAAAATAATAATAGAATCCTCTTAAGAATTATAAAGCTTATATTATTTTGAGAAAATTATTTTTTCAATAGATTTTTTTATCTTAATTAAACATTAAATAAATTTTAACCTTGAAACCTTGAAAATGGCTTTTTATTATTTACGTTATTGTTTTTTTCTTCTCATGATAAACTTTTTTTGTTTATTAAATTCTTTTCAGATTAAGGGGTATTAATTAGTTTATATTTTTGAATATTCAAATTTGATTTGTATTTATAATGTAGGAGATATAGGTTGAGATGGATAGGCTTAAATAGCTATATTTTAACTGATTTTTAAAAACTGCTAACTTAATATTTTAGCCAGAAAAATATTACCGCATAAGCCTCAAAATTTCACTTATACATTCAATACTTTTTACCACCTGTGAGCAAAATCTGCAGACTTGTAATAGTTTTCTGGATAAAATATTGAGTTCACCATTTTTAAAATAAATATTTTTCAAGCGTTTTTCATAACGATTAATTGGAAAGTTCTAATAAACACTTGAGTTAATAATTTATTAATATATTACTAATCATAAATTCCAATTTTATTAAATAATAACTAACTCAATAAGCTTAAACTCATAATTCTTTAAATCCTCATCTTTCCCTAATAAAACACCTTCAAGAGAATAGCTTCAGGATTTTTTTCCTAGTCTAAGCATTGAACTTCAGTCAAAATAATTTAATAGTTTACTATACCTCAGCCTCAATATGTAACCTCAGCCCAAAAAATGATGTTATGGTTGTATATGTAAAGATAATTTATCATGCAACAAATAATTTTCATTAAACCGAGTATATTTTTTTGCCATCCCAGACAACATAGGCCTAAAACGAATTATTCTATTATTATTTTTTGGAATATGAAAAACATTTGATTATGAATGAAGTAAAAAAAAATTGATAGATCGAAATCATTCTTAAATATTTTAATATTCATCCGTAACCCCCTATTTATTATTTTTTTAACGTTATTATCACATTGTCGAAATTAGCGCGATATCCCCCTTCATAGTTACGATATCCGCTTAATTGAGGCGGGTTACTCATTGTTATGGATCTATATCGCGCCTACTATAAATGCTGCCTTACCCTGCGTTCACGATTATTGTGAATTCGCATAGAAGTATACAAAAATGAATGTATAATTATATTTATATGATATTTTGTGTACTTCGCCACGAATTCGTGCTTCTCTGGGAACGCAGGGTTAGGCCTCGTTATAGTGAGCGTGAGCGCATATCGCCCAAACGACCGCGACATGTATAGCTGGGTATTTTTCAAGAGCAAACAAATAATTGGCAATTAAAGTATATAATCTATATAGATGTAATTCATTTCATCGCAACTCGCACTCAAATTTTTACCTATTTTTGCTTGTTTTTGAAAGATACCCAGCGATACAGGGTTGCATCGCTTTAGCGATACGCGCTTACTACAAACGCTACCATTTTTTTGTCCTTTTCGACGTTATTCCTTATTAATTTAAATGTATTCGAGTTTTAAATTATTTTTCATCTTAATAATTGTTTCGCAAATCTTCTTCATAATTTCACTTTAATTCACTTCTTTCGTTTGTTTTCCCATATTTTTTTTTAATATGTAACAAAAGCGAAAAAAGAAGTTTATAAAAAAATGAAGATTATTTTTTAAAAAAAACTTTTATACAAAAAATATAAATAAATTTCAATATATAATATATAATATGGGTAGTGTATGTTTATTAAAAACATAATATATTTTTTTTATATATAAATTAAATATTAAATGTAAATTATTTGACATTGTAACCTATAATAAATAAAATTAAAAAATTTTTTTAGATTTAATAAAATAAAATATTATGGATTAACTCGATAAATTCTTAACACAAATTTTTCAAAAGAAATTTTTACATGGAAGATTTATCCTTTAAAATCGAGAAAAAAAAAGACAGCGTGGCGGCTGTTGTCAACTTGTTTTAATTGGGAAACTCTTTTCATTTCATCACGAATTAATCCTTGCGTTTTGTTCTTTAAAACAAGGTTAATTTTAAATGTATTGTTTAAAAAATTTTTTTAAAAATTAAACTATAACGAAAACATTGTAAAAGGTTTTTCGCCGTGGATGATATTTTTCTCAATTATCGGATAGGATTATGTATATATTTTTATATACATGTATCAGTTTTTTGTTAATTAATTTCTATTTTTTCCCTTTTTAATTATTATTTTTTGATTAAAAGAAATATAATTTTATCAAATGGAATCATTACTTCGAGAGGAGGATGAGGAAGGGGGGGTGTGGGATATTGTAAAATTAAGATTCGTAATTAAAGTTATTTGTTTTGTTCTTATAACATTTACATAATTTGTAAAATGAAACGCAATATCTGAATAAGAGATAGAGAAATAAAATGGATATTTTGCGCTTATTAATTAATGATGTATTAACCCATATTATTTGTTTTATTTTCGATAAAAATGTATTTGAGATAAGATTTGAGGCTTCTTTTTTTTTTATTGGCCGATATAAATACGAATTTGTCAATTTATTGCGATTTAAAATGCATTCTTTTCTTAGAAAGAAAGAAACTAACATAAGATTTTTTGAGCTCGATTCAAACGTAAATTCTAGAAATTCTCGTTCCTGAGTAGCAAAGTTTGATCAAATCGAACAGTAAAGATTGCTTAAGGGGGAGGTGGCTCACTAAGTCATTCAATTACCATGTTTAATACTATATTTATTCATTATTTTTTTCGTGTAAATTTTTATTTTTATTTTTTCTAAAAAAATAAATAAGAAATACAATATTGTTCTTAGGGGTATTTTGAATTAAAAATATTTTGTATTACATATTCTTTTTTTAAAAACAGAAATCATACTTGATAAGTTGATTAGCCCCCCTGGAGGTGCTAAAAATATGCAACATTTTTTTCTTTACACATATTATTTGGAAAGAAAGTTATTATTTTGTCGAAGAAAAAAAAATTGAGGAATTAAAAATAATTTTGTAGGTGTACCATTTTTAAAAAAAATTATATTTATTTGCTTTTCATGTGACAATAATATAATAACCGGTCAAATAAGTTTCACTTTTTTTAAAAAAATATTTATTATATAAATATATAGATTAAGTGTTACATTTTTTATGTCATTTTTCTCTTCTTTCCTTATAAGTAATAATTTAAAACCATAAGCAAAATATAAATTATTAGTTTTTTACATCATCGATATGATGAATATATTTATTACATAAATAATTTATGAACTAAAATACAATTTTGTTTGTTTGTATCCATAAAATAATACTTTTTAAAAGAAATGTGTGTCTTAGTTTTCTAATTAATTAATATTAGTTTTTCTTTTTTCTCATTCGATAGTAAATATAAGATTAAATGTGCATTGCCGACTACTGGTCTAATTACCATGATGTTTATATCAACATTAATCTTTCACTGAGGAGAAGAGGTTTGACTTAATACAGTAAGGTTCTAGTGTTAAACGGCTAACTCAATATTAGTCAGAAAAATATGGTCTAAGCCTCGAGATTTCTATAATATATGTCTAGACCTTTGTTCCTTGTATGAACAAAATCTTCAGGCTTGCGTAATATTTTTCTGGATAAAATATTGAGTTATCCGTTTTTAAAAATCGGCTCAAACGAGCCATTTAACAACACTAATAGGTTCCTTCCAAGAGCGGTTTTATATATATCGAAACCATAACTAAAGAGTTTCCTGGTTAAAACTCTAATGGTCCTCAAGGGTAATCGGGATTTTATGAATATATGAGAATTCTGGAATTCTATATATTCAAATTATTTTTTATTGTTCTTTAGTTTCAATTGATAATTCTTATTTCTTTTTTTTGTGTGACGCATTTTATTAAAAATGTCTTTTCTTTTTTCTCTTATCTTTTTCATTCAAGGAAATAATCCATAATATAAAATATTAATAATAATCATAACGAACAGAACAACTAAAAAAAAATGGTTCCGGTTCGAAATATTTTCTTCCAAAAGTAATTTCCGGTTTCTGGAAATGGCTTTGTTTCCGGTTCTTAGATTCTTTTTATTCCAGATTTCGACCGTTTAAGTTGAATCATTTGACCAGGTTTTCTAGGGTTTTAATTTTATTTTAAACTATGAAGTTCTACTCAGATTGTTTCTTTGCATGTTGACAGCAATTAATTTCTCCGATATATTCATATCTTATAATGCCAATCAGTTTTTCAAAAAATTCAATCAAAATTCATATGTTTTGTTTAAAATAATTTCTAACCTTTTTTTAATTATAAATTTACTAATATACTCTTCTTTATTACACTTTGTAATCATGTATCAATATAATTATTCAAAAAACATTACGATATCACTAACATAAAAAAGATAAATATTATATAGTTTTTTTAGAATCTAAGCCTCAAATTGATCCGAGTGTTTAATAATTTTACTATTCGTATTTTTATTCATAATTCGAATCGAATAACGGATATATATTTTTTTAAAATCTGAGCTTATGGAAATAAAAATTTGTTATTTCTTTACTGCTTAGAGAAGACCTCCTAAATATTTAAATCCTAAATAATATTGTTTTGCTTCCATTTTTTCAAAACTATATCCACCCTTTCCCCTAACCCGATTAAAATTTTACTCTTAACCCAGAGTTGAACTTAATACCATCGAAATTTTTTCGATCTTTGGGCCCCTGTGCATAAGGTAATGATATTGCACAGGTTGACATGATAAACAAATTTACCATAAAAAACGACCAAATTTTATTAAAATGCAATAAGTTCAATTTTGAATGATACATTAACGAATGGAAGTTTAGTCTAAATCATACCCTACTTGGCACAGAATTACCTGTTAATTTCAGAATATTGTTTCCACTGGGATTGAACCAAGGTTTAAGCTTGTTGGGATTTCTTAATCTAGACCTCAGCGCCCTTCCTGACTCACATGTCACTTGAAAAAAAAGGTTTTTTATGTATAATAATTTCACCACAAAAAATCAATAACAGCAACTAGAAAAGGATTTTAAAATATCGAATGAGTCACATTCAGCTAGTTAAACGGCTTGATTTATCCATTTTAAAAACGGTTAATTCAAGATTTTGGCTAAAAGTAAGTTAATTGATTTAGCTTCTTTTAAATCGGCTAAATGGAGCTGTTTAACAACACTACATTCATCCATAAACTTTACAAATATTTTAATTGAGATATATTATCTACCTTTGAAAAATATTAAAAAAACGAAATAAACTTAACCATTCGTGGAAGTTAAGCTGGTTTTATTTTAAAAAATAGAAAATATTGATATTTTTTTACAACATTGATTCAAGGATAGATGGTAAATTAAAATCAATATAAATATCGGATCGGTATCGAATCGATTTTTTAAAATAATATCGAATAGGTAAAAAAATTTATTGATTGGCTCAGCCCTATTGATATGCTCAAAGTAGTAAAATATTAAATAAATATCATTCAATATATAATATTTAAATTTTTAAAATTGTATATTAATTAATAAATATTGTAAGAGCGTTAACGTAAAAGCGAAATCAACAAAATAAATATTAGCGCGCTAATTTAACAACGTTTGCAGCCGCTGCACACTATCATCACTCTTATGCACAGGGGGTGGGGTAGTGAATACTTATAATAGAGGTCTGCAAAAGTGAGCCCTGGCCGGGTTCGAGCTGAGATGAGCCTCATATTTAAAAGAAGCGGCCCGGGCGGTCGGGCTTAAATTTTGAAATATGTTATAAAATTTTTGGAAAGAAACAAGGCGACAATATTTTACATAGTTTGTAGTATAATTTATATAAAAAATATATGAAAAATTTAATATCAATTATATTAAGTTTAAATGTTCATAAAAAATTTGTCTGAAATTTGTAGGGTAGGTATTTCCAACATGACGGCACACATTTTAGGGCAAAGTGCTCAAAAAATGATTTAAAGTTGAAAAAATAACACATTACCGGAATAAAAATATTGCCGCTAACACATATATATATACGTTAAAAAGCATCGATGCCGGGTGAAAAAATGTGATTTATATTGCTCATAATAAACGATACTATTTATAAAAAAAGATAAAAAAAACTCGATTATGTTCGGTGTAAAAAAAGAGTAGATAAAACCTTAATGAAATATATATGAATTTCTGTATTTATATAAATTCGGGCCTGGCCTGGCGGACAATTAAATTTTATGCCTTTCGGGACAAATACAAGAAATTTCGTTCGAACTTGAGAAATTAGGTCCGACGCAGATCACCAATTTATAAACCTTTACTTTAAACGTATTGAATTGAAGGTTCAAACTTTCCGTTGGGCAGTATTGTATTTGGTTTCCGCCCTTTCATTTAATGAGCAACGTTTACGCTCAAAAATTTCACTTGCCTTTTATTTTATTCTTTAAATTAAAGATTTAAATATATTTCTCGATCGAGCGAGATTTTACGTCTTATTTGTATTTTATTATTTTTTTTTAATGCTAATTTTAATTTAACAATTTTATACACCAACTAAAAAGAAAAATTAAATAAATTATATAATTTTTTCCATTTTTTTTTTAAAAATAAAAAGACTAAGAAAATTATAAAAATGTTTTAATCACCCCTAAAGGTGAAAAGCAACGTGTACAGCAGTTTCGAGAGGAAGCATAAAATTATAATTTTACGTGTAATTAATTTTCTCATTTACTTTTGCTTTTTTTTTTGTTGTTGCATATAATAAATGCATATTTTAAATACTCTACCTGTTTTTTTTCCTATATTTTCATGATTTATTCTTCTTTACCGTAAACCTTTATCTGATTGGGTCCCCCTCCCTTCCAACTGATTCTCGGGTGATGACGGAAGTATTTCTCGTTAAATTTTTACGAAGTATCTTTTTTTATCGCCGGGAATTTCCGTAATAATTTATATCGAAATTTCTTTATTTTTTTTGTACTTTAGTTTTATAAATTACGTTAAAAAAAAATTGTTTACTTCCCTTTTTTATAAGCGATATTTTTTATAAATCGTTGCACTTTCCGAAATTTTCATATTATTGACCCGGATTTTTAATGGCCTCGTAATTGGATTATTTAATTTCTTATTAACTTATATCTTTCTAAGGGTGCTCACCTCATTGAACTGACCGCTTAGGTCCCTTTTTGCCAAAATCACATGTTTATTGACCAAATTGTATCCTGAGTGGTCCCCTCTTAGAGGCTTACATATATTTATTACTTATTTAAGAAGATTTCAATTCAACCTTAATAAATTTTGACAGATTTATAGTAATTTAATCCATGTTAAATACATTTTCCTATTCGCTCCTTTTTAATTGTATGATTCTTGTTATGTTAGAAAACCATTAAACATATAAATAAATGTTTTATATTAAAAAAGTTAGAACCAAAATTAGATGACATGAATATAAAAATATTATTTATTGCACCTAGAAAACCCCGCCATAAAATTATTCACCACTGCATCTTTTAAATACTAAATATTTATTTTAAGTTGTCAGGATTTAGGTTTCCATTAAATTTAAAATTGTTTGGTTTGGTAAATATGATTCATCTTTCGCAAATTTTTTTTAATCTTGTCACTTATCATTTTCCCTGCCAATCAAACATCTAATTCGATATCTTATTTATTTGTAATAGGTTGTCAAGACTATAGGACTGAGGGAGATTTGGTTTTTTGGTTTGCAATACGTCGATACCAAAGGCTTTACCACGTGGCTCAAACTCAACAAAAAAGTTTTAACAACAAACATTTTAAAATTTTCACAATTTGGGAATAATAACACATTTTACTCAACTTATCCCCGCCTTAAATTACACGCCTTCCCGCGTTTTTTCCCCTTTCATCTTTTGAATTTTTGTTTTTTCTAAATTTTTTTAAAATTAATTTTACGAGAATTACCTTTAAAATAAAATTGGTAAATAATAGAGAAATATATATTTTTTTACAACTAATATTAATTAATTAATTTAGACAAAGAAATGTAAATCGTTATAAAATGGCCTTGGATATTAAAAGATTTTGATTAAAAACATTATACATATATCAATATATTTTTTTTTATATGTGTACCAGTGTAGCTTGGAAATTTATAGAAATTTATTTTTTTTATCATAAAAAGGTATAAAAAAAATCATTTCTATGACTCATATCCATATTTTTTATAAGCATATCTACTGTTGTTTCTGTAGTAATCGATATAACATAAATAAGGGAGGAGGAGGGATTATAGTGGAAAAATGTAGGAAACATGATCTGAAAAGGTCCTGCCGAAGTGAATAAATTTTTCGTTCTCATATAAATTAACACTCCCCCCCCCCCACCATATAAATAATTATAAGCCCGATATTATAAAAAAGGGACCGAGAAGAGTAAGTTATTCTCCTCCAGGAAAATCCTGCATTCGCCTTTATTAATTGGTTTGGATTCGGAGTTATCCATACATTTTGTTATTACATCCTTATTTGGACTTGGTGTTCACTATCAATTTCATCTTGTGATACACACATGTATTGTCGATAAGGCCAATTTAATTACATTTGTTTGACACCTGACCAAAATAATACGATTAATCACAATCAATTAATTTTTTTATATATATTTTACCCGTTAGGTATTAACACAAGATATGAAAAAAGAGATTCCATTACAGTTCAAATTCAGGGCTAAATTTTTCCCCGAGGATGTTTCCGAGGAGCTAATACAAGAGATCACCAAAGTAACTTATTATTAATACGCCCATTCTTTTTAATTAATTTTTTTTAAAAAAAATAGTTTTAAAACTTTAAAAAAAGAATTATAGAGGGTTAATGTAACAATTGCCTAAGGTTAATTATCGAGAACGCTTCCCCCTCCTAAAAAAATTTATTTTTAAATATGGGTGCAACTAGTGCTGTTTACGGTTCGATTTCTCGGGCTTTCGTCGATATATGCCCAATTCTGCTTCGTCTATGAAGAAATAGGCTTGCATAATATTTTTTTTGCCTACAATATTGGGTTGTTTTTTAAAAATTCTAATCGTTTAACGAACGCTTGCAATCTTTTAAGGAATGTAAGAAAAAGAGTTCATAGCTTTAGTGATGTCACCTCAAGGCACTGTAACTTTGTCCCAATTATATGGATGAGTATACCTAGTCATCTATTATTCATAAATATATTTATAGAATGCTTAATTAAATGCCTTAGCATTACTTTTTATTACCTATATATTGATTTTTTTTTTCACGGCTTCCCGAAATATCGTTGTTTAAAATATTTTTCTAATTAAAAAGGTTATATTTTTAAAAATAAAAAAAATGCTTTTCGTAAACGAGAAATTTATGAGAAAAAAATATAAAATATGGCGGAAGAATAGTAAATGGATTTTTTTAAAAATTTCATTTTAATTATTTATTCTATAAGAGGATATCTTTTTAATTTTTCGAAATAATATGTTCGTCGCATTGTTTTTAAATGGCATGATAATATTTGCCTATTTTTGATGATGTAAAAATTTACATGGTTGAGCAATGATTTAGTAAAACCGCCCTATTTGAGCCGATTTTAAAAACGACCAACTCAATATTTTAGTCAAAAAAATATCGCCTAAACCTCGCAAACCTTTGTATCATCTATGAGCGAAATCGTCTGGCCTGCATAATATTTTCTAGATAAAATGCTGAGTTAGCCGTTTTTAAAAAAGCGGCTCTTATGCAGTGTTGTTAAACGCTACTTTTAAAAGTAGCGCGCTATCGCTACCGCTATCGTTTTCAAATGAGTAGCGTACTATTAGCTACTTTTTACGCTACTTTGATTTTTTTTTTAAATATTTTTTTTTACGTAACTTTATTTCCAGAAATAAAATATTGATATAAAAACATGACTATAATTTGTTACATATATATATATAATTTATTTATTATTGCATTTTAATAATAATAACATTTCGGTACTGTCATCCCCAAGTCTAGAGCGACGATCAGAAAGTATAAGCTTTGCCATACTAAATAATCGTTCAGCACTAGCATGGAGGGAAACGCAGTATTTAATTTAATAAACAAACTTTTTATATGAAAAAAATCATCAAAAATATTTAAATTAGTATTTTTAGATTTAAAAAAAGCATCTAGAGGTTCAATAATATTATTATTATTATTATTTATTTCAAAAAAATCGTCTATGGAAGGCTGCGGTTTCGATCTTGCTATAGTATCGTGGTTAGGCATGCCATTTTTTAACGTTACCATCAGCCTATCAAGTTGCCCTTTAGATTCAGTCAAATTAATGTATGGCCAATTTAACTTGAAACTAGGATGAACGATAGCAGCTATTACATTATCATCATCATACAGATCTGGAAATCTAATTTATATAAAGCGATTGTATTTATTATAAAAAAAAGAAGAATACCATTTTAATTTTTAAAATTTAAATTTATCTGAGATTTAGATTCATTTATAAAAAAAATATTAAAATAGCAATAAATTATGGTAAATAAAAATTTTAAAAATATAATTATTATACACAAGGTAATTAATAATATATTAATTTTGAATTTTATATTAATTAATAATTACTATATATTAATATTATAGATTGTGTTGTAAATTAAGCCAATTTAAATTATGGCTAATCAAGCAATAAATCATTCATTTTATATAATTGTATAATAGTAAATAAAAATAAAGTTTTGACCTTTTCGCAATGCCTTTTAGCATAGACTCTACCAGTGGTTGGCAAAATTTTAGATTATTGATTCTTTTGAGCTTGGTAATTAATATACTCAGTGTGGGCACATCATATCCCATGCTCATATTATCTTGCCCTTCTAAGATTTTAAGTGAGGCAGCAACATATTGCAAAACCTAAAAAATAAAAATGGTTAAATATCAGTGTTGTTAAAAATAGCGCGCTACTTTTTTCAGTAGCGGTAGCTATAGCGCGCTACTTTTTTAAAATAATAGCGATAGCGGTAGCTCGCTACTAATTTATAAAAATTATTAAAATATATTTTTTATAAAATCTAAAATTATAATCCTTTTATTTAATTTAATTTTGAATATTTAAATTTATATTTAAAAATATATATTATTGTTATATATTAGATATAAACAGTTGTTAAATAGCAATCTGTATTTAATTTATATTTCGCGCATTCATTAAATTATATATTTTTGAAATTCCGTTATTGGTATGTCCTTGCTTTTATCTTATTTTATATTTCATTTTACATTTTATATTAAGCATTATAAATCTTGTTATGTGTGAGATTGTTGAAGATATTGAAATTTCTTTGGAAAATGAGCAAAATATAGATGATCCTTTCCCAAAATTCAAGAAATACTTTAACCTTGAAGAAAAAATTAATACTGGATATCGATTTCGGTGCAAGATGTGCCGCAAAATTATCTCATCAAATTATACGAGCAGCTTTAATTTGAAAAAACATTTAAAGGTAAAATATTAAACAAATTTAATAGCAATGTGTAGGCTAATCTTTAATTTTTAAAATAAATTAAAATCAAAAACCAATTATTTTTTTTATATATTCATAAATTTTATCTAAATTATTTAAAACATTTTAAAATAGTTATTTCAATCATTTTTATGTATACTTATCTCCTACAAAATTTTTATTCTAAGTATTTTATTATTTTAGACTGTGCACATAACAAATTATAAAGAGATTGAAAAATATACAAAAGTTTTGGGGTAATGGAAGAAGATAAACCCACTTCCAAATCAAATTTAATACAAACAAAATTAACCAATTTGGATTTATCAACACCTGGTGTATCCCAAAAATTGGCTGACAAAGTCATTATGAACTTTATAATAGATACAGTTCAACCATTATCCTTGGTGGATAATGATTCTTTTATAAAGATGATAAACACTTTTTCTCCACGGACCAAGATCATCCTAGTTTCAAGTTAAATTGGCCATACATTAAATTGACTGAATCTAAAGGGCAACTTGATAGGCTGATGGTAACGTTAAAAAATGGCATGCCTAACCACGATACTATAGCAAGATCGAAACCGCAGCCTTCCATAGACGATTTTTTTGAAATAAATAATAATAATAATAATATTATTGAACCTCTAGATGCTTTTTTTAAATCTAAAAATACTAATTTAAATATTTTTGATGATTTTTTTCATATAAAAAGTTTGTTTATAAATTTAATTCTGCGTTGCCTTCAAGTGCTAGTGCTGAACGATTATTTAGTATGGCAAAGCTTATACTTTCTGATCGTCTCTCTAGACTTGGGGATGACAGTACCGAAATGTTATTATTATTAAAGTGCAATAATAAATAAATTATATATATATATGTAACAAATTATAGTCATGTTTTTATATCAATATTTTATTTGTGGAAATAAAGTTACGTAAAAAAATAAAAAAAATCAAAGTAGCGTAAAAAGTAGCTGCGCGCTACTCATTTGAAAACGATAGCGGTAGCGAAAGCGCGCTACTTTTTTTATAAAATAGCGGTAGCGATAGCACGCTACTTTTTTTATAAAATAGCGGTAGCGATAGCGCGCTACTTTTAAAAGTAGCGTTTAACAACACTGTTAAATATAATATAATATTATTTACTAATTAAAAATACTTCAGTATATTCTTTAATAAAAGTATGCTCCTCCACATTAAAATACTGTATTCCCATTTGATCCAATATATAATTCATTTCCATTTTTTTCTCATCTAGAAACAATGCTAAAAGTTTCATAGCATTGTAAACACTATTCCATCTTGTAGTGTTTGGTGTCAATAAATAACGTCCTAATTTTTTTTTGAAAATATCAGACGTCTTTGATGACTTATTTTGTTTATTCCAAAGAGCTTGGCATTTATGTAGATCTTGATACTCTTTTAAAATCCTCATTTAATAATGCTTCTTTAGCATCCACTGTCGCAACTAAATTTAGGTTGTGGCAGGAACAACGATGATGGCTAGGTAACATAGAAGACTTTATTGAAGATCCTAAATAATATAAATTATATTTTATATTGGTGAAAAATTAAATATAAAATAATTTAAAACCAAGGATGTCATGAACATCAATTATCTCAAACTGCATTTCATCATCCTCTTCTTGTTCTCCATCTTCAATATTTTTGTCAGGAATATTACTAGTATTGTTATTATTATTATCTTCCCCAAATATTCTATATTATTTATATCATATTATAATAAAATTATAATAAATTTAAACCTGAAGGCCTTCAGAAATTAGACCCATTATCCGTAATCATCTTACAAACCATGTTTTGAATTTTGTAAGACCTATGGATTTCTGCAATAATATTGGCTAGAATGTCATCTGACAGCCAATTATTCTCTTTAGAGCTAACGCTACAGATTTTCGTTTAAGATTTTTAGGATCAATCCAATGTGCAGTTACTCCTAAATAAGCTCTAAAAATATGACATATTATAAATCAGAAAATAAACATTTTTACCTTCTATTGTGAGTCCAGCAATCTGCCGTTGTACAGACGTAGGAGACATCTGATAGATTTAATATCAAAGATTCTTTCATTTCCTTAAAGCTCTCCAAAATTCTTGCCATCAATGTCTGCCGGCAAAATATCTTGGTCCGTGGAGAAAAAGTGTTTATCTTTATAAAAGAATCATTATCCACCAAGGTTAATGGTTGAACTGTATCTATTATAAAGTTCATAATGACTTTGTCAGCGAATTTTTGGGATACACCAGGTGTTGATGAATCCAAATTGGTTAATTTTGTTTGTATTAAATTTGATTTGGAAGTGGGTTTATCTTCTTCCATTACCCCAAAACTTTTGAGATATTTTTCAATCTCTTTATAATTTGAAGTGTGCACAGTCTAAAATTATAAAATACTTAGAATAAAAATTATGTAGGAGATAAGTACATAAAAATGATTGAAATAACTATTTTAAAATGTTTTAAATAATTTAGATAAAATTTATGAATATATAAAAAAAATGATTGGTTTTTGATTTTCATTTATTTTAAAAATTAAAGATTAGCCTACATAGTGATATTAAATTTGTTTAATATATTACCTTTAAATGTTTTTTCAAATTAAAGCTGCTCGTATGATTTGAAGAGATAATTTTGCGGCACATCTTGCACCGAAACCGATATCCAGTATTAATTTTTTCTTCAAGGTTAAAGTATTTCTTGAATTTTGGGAAAGGATCATCTATATTTTGCTCATTTTCCAAAGAAATTTCAATATCTTCAACAATCTCACACATAACAAGATTTATAATGCTTAATATAAAATGTAAAATGAAATATAAAATAAGATAACAGCAAGGACATACCAATAACGGAATTTCAAAAATATATAATTTAATGAATGCGCGAAATATAAATTAAATACAGATTGCTATTTAACAACTGTTTATATCTAATATATAACAATAATGTATATTTTTAAATATAAATTTCAAAATTAAATTAAATAAAAGGATTATAATTTTAGATTTTATAAAAAATATATTTTAATAATTTTTAGATGTATTCACTACTTTCTAAATTAGTAGCGAGCTACCGCTATCGCTATGTTTTTAAAAAAGTAGCGCGCTATTTTAACCACACTGCTCTTATGAAGCGATTTGCATTACTAATTGTGTTGTTAAATGTCTCGATTTGAGTCGATTTTTAAAAATTCCTAACTCAATATTTTAGCCAGAAAAATATCTCCCAATCCTCGATATTTCGTTAATAGATGTCCAAACCTTAGTTATCTACTAATAATATTTAGGATTGCTTAATATTTGTTAAGTTAAGTTTTAAAAAATCGGCTCAAATCGAGCCGTTTAACAACCCTATTATCATTGTGCGTGGTTGAAAATTAAATTATTGAAAATGCTTTATAAAAATGGTAAAAAATTTTGCTTCATTAATTCGTTTAAATTACTAATGAGGATGCACCAATGTTTTTTAAAATATATTGTAACCCTATCATTAAGTAACGTATTGGTAGACATTTTAATATTTTCCTATTCGTTTTTATACCCTGGACTAAAAAGGGTTCCAGTTCTGAATATTTTTCTAAAAGAAGAAATTCCTGGAGGTTTTAAGAAAAATTATTGTTTATTAGACATCCAAAGAATGAGTTCGTTCTAATTCTGGTTCTTAGATTTAAACTCGGTTTTATACTTTACCTAAACCTATTTCCCCCCTCACCTTTACGACGACATACTAGAATCATGACAAATAATTTTGTTTGATATCGCCAATTATATAAATAACGGATGCAATTCGTTTTTTATATGAACGCGATGTCCTTTTATTCGATTAATCTTGATCAGCCTTTTAGTTTCTTAGTTACCTAGAATCCACTATTACTACTCAGTTAAACCAACACACACATATCGATAATGTTTTGGAAAACCGGGATAAGAATGGTACTCGATTAATTGCTAAGACAATTTATCTATATAGGTGATTACGTTTGAACCAACACATGAAATAGATTGGTTTTATAAACAATTCTCTAATCTCTCGAATTTTTTATATTCCCTCGTTTTAAAGACGTGATGCACTATTAAAATATTTATCGAAATACTTTATCTTAAGGCTTGGTTTTATTTTCCCGAATCGTTATGTTACTCAACTCTAAAAAATTTATTCTCTCCCACATTAACGAACAGAGAATGTTTTACCTGCAAGTCAAGGACGCCATTCTCAGCGACGAAATATATTGCCCTCCCGAAACATCGGTCCTTTTAGCCTCTTACGCGGTCCATATCAAATACGGCGATTATAACTCAGACGTGCACAAACCCGGCTTTCTCTCCAACGATAGACTGTTGCCACAAAGGTTTTTTTAAGATATGAAATACCATATTATGTTCCTTGTGGAGTATAAATGTAAGCAGATATGTTTTCTTAACCTCCTCCACCAAATGCGTTAACACAGTTCACAAAAAATCGATTTAATATTTTGATAGCTGATAATTTGAATTAATTTGGTTACTGCCGGCAAGTAATGACCATTATAATTCTTTATTACTTATTTAAACATATGTAGCTAATTGAGTATGTTTCTGACAATTTTATTGTTCTACCAATTAATATGATCGATTTATTATGACAATATAAATATTTTAATTCTTTATTAAGTAATTTAGTGTTGTTAAAAGCCCGATTTCGATTTTATAAAATAGCCCGATAAGATTTTATTCAAAATAATTTTATGTAAGCCTAACAAATCTTCTTGCCATCTATACGCAAAATCTTCAGACAGTGACAAAGCATCGAATACTACAAGGGAAGCAATAGAAAATCATTTTTCCTTTTTATAAGTCTAACCATACAAAAAATTAAAATGTATAAATAAGCAGAATTCGTCCTTGTTTTTGAGTAAAATTTCGTTTCATATTTTGCGCCTGGAATCTATCATATTTTTTAATTCAATTTTTGGCAAATCGACTTCAAATAAGCCGTTGATTCTTCATGCTGTAAAACTGCCTTAAAAAATTATTCATATCCAAACAATTATGTCAATCCAAACATATTTTTCCTTCAAGAATAATAGGCGACCAACAATATAGAGATATAGAAAATCCACATCCAGTGAGCCACTCATATTTTTCATATTAATCGCTTTGGTTTTTATCTTCCTATTAATAATCCATTGCTTCACATTCTTAAACTAAATGATATTTTTAATAAATTTTCAATTTTACAATTTGCAATTATTAGACATAATTAATAAATTCTTTTAGAAGTAATTTAAAAAAAGAACAGATAAAAATATAATATAAATATTCTCAACCTCTTTTATTTATTTAAAAAATAGGTATTTTTTTATTTACTTCCCCAACACTTATTTTTTTATATGTAAAATTACACATACATTCGCATGATTTTCTCTTTATTTATTTTGAAAAATAGGTAATATTAAATTTGCTTCACTCATGTAATTTTTTTAAGGTAGTAAAAATAATAGTAATTTTTTAACATAGTATAAATATTTATTATTTTTATTTAAGAATTAATGTGTATGCTTCCTGGGGATATAGGCAGTAAAAAATCTTTTTCGGATGGAATTAGGGTTTTTTTTCTCTCATGTAGAGGTAGCTGATATAATTTATTAATAAAATGAAGACTAAATAAACACTCACAAAAAAATATCCAGGTGTAAATAATATTATTTTAATTCAACCCAAATCGGAAAAGAATCATAAGACACCAGTTGAACATGTGTGTTAAATAATCCTGTGAGTCACTAGAATTTTATAAAGATTCTATAATTTTTACAATATTTTTTCAGAATAAAAAACTCCTTTAAATGCCTTTATCTTTCATTTTTATAAAAATTATTTTCACCCAAAAGGATTCATATTTAATCGAAATTTTTTAAAAGCAGTTAAAAATATATTTACGTAATGTTACGACTACACATTTTAAAGTAACGTTTAATGAATGAATCATCAGTTTATGTATTATTATATGTCATTGCCCTCTATAAGAAACAATTTTAGGTCAAAGCATCTACTATATAAGTATTTTTATCACTGAAAATATGTATACAATAAGCGCGAAAAGAATTTATTTATAAATTTTTATATTCAATTTACAATATTGTACAAAATAATTATAAAAATGTAAATAAAGTATACACCATATATAGCAAGAGAATAATAAAAATGTAAATATATAAAAGAAATATAAATAAATCGGGTTATGATTGTTGTTTTATAAAATATGAAACATTATCTAAAAAAGGATACATTTCCATTGTACGCTCGTATATACGAGTTAGATTATCAATGTTGTTATTTAATTGATCGTATTTTTTATTTTTTCTCCTCACGTTCAACCCACTATTGATTTGTAAGACCTTAAGCTCACTCGAATGTTGGCGTCTTTTTAAAATATTTATCAGACAATAAATATTCGGATGAGCCACCTTTGTTTTTCTCTCGAGGGCATGATGATACCCCGCCAGGTGGTTGTTTGTACTAGGGCCGTCAATTTGATACCTAAATTGATTATAAGTAAAGATAATAGGGAATATGGCATTAACACCGAGCCATGTAAAATCCTATACTCCATAAAATTTGCGAGCAAAGGATAGCAGACAGAGCATGGCATGATGCCCGTACCTCGGGAACATGTTCTTCTTTGCAAAATGGCAAAGTGGTCATTCGTCTAACAACTTGATGAACGGTAGTATTATGCAAATAACCGGTAACTAAACCCAGCGCCTGACATTTACGTCAAAGAGCCTGGGAATAGTGAAAAAAACAGTCTAATTAATTTTTATGGACATATTGGGGAAAAAAAACCTGAGCGCCGATATAGCTGCGGCCTCGTAATCAGTTGGGGTTTCATCATGCCCTCAAGAGAAAAGCAAACGTGGCTCATCCGAATATTTATTGTCTGATAAATATTTTAAAAAGACACCAACATTCGAGTGAGCTTAAGGTCATACAAATCAATAGTGGGTTGAACGTGAGGTGAAAAAATAAAAATACGATCAATTAAATAACGAGCGTACAATGGAAATATTTCCTTTTTTAGATAATGTTTCATATTTTATAAAACAACAATCATAACCCGAATTTATTTATATTTTTATTATTCTTTTGCTATATATGGTATACTTTATTTACATTTTTATAATTATTTTGTATTATTATTCTTGAACGAAAAATATGTTTGGATTGACATAATTGTTTGGATATGAATAAATTTTTAAAGGCAGTTTTACAGCATGAAGACCGCTTATTTGAAGTCGATAATTCAATTAAAATCATTTGCCAAAAATTGAATTAAAAATATGATAAATTCCAGGCGCAAAATATGAAACGAAATTTTACTCAAAAACAAAAACGAATTCTGTTTATTTATAAATTATAATTTTTTGTATGGTTAGAATTATAAAAAGAAAAAATGATTCTCTATTGCTTCCCTGGTTGTCTGAAGATTTTGCGTATAGGTAAGAAGATTTGTTAGGCTTACATAAAATTATTTTGAATGAAATCTTATCGGGCCATTTTATAAAATCGAAATCGGGCTTTTAACAACACTAAATTACTTAATAAACAATTATAATATTTATATTGCTATAATAGTTAAATAGTATAGCCATAATTTACAAAGTTGTAATATTTATTTTAGATTATATAATTAAAGTTTTGTAATATATATTACAACTTTTTATATAATTAATCGTTTAAAAATTGTATAAAAATTATATGGGAATATTTTATAATTATATAACAATAGTCTCATAATATTATAATGATTTCTATATCAATAATTTACAATTACATATTAATAATTTCTAAAATTATTTATATATTAATAATTTAGACTTTTTTACATTTTCATCATTTAATATCTCGCTATTTTGATCATCGCTATTGGGTTTAGTTAGCGTATATTTACATAACTTTGCCATTTTGCAAGGAAGAACATGTTCCTGAACTACGATCATCATTCCATGCTCTGTCTGCCGAATATCATCATTCTGCTTTACCATTTTAATAAATCAAATGAGAGATAAATGTTTTTCATGGGTTCCCTAGTTTCGTCACTGTTATAGCTATTCACCATAAGCTATGTTAAAAGTAGCGCGCTACATTTTTTAAATAGCGATCGTTATATTTACTTTTATAAAAATAGTAGTTAATTAATAGCGCCGCCATTTATTTAGAGTAGTCATAGCTAAAAAAGAGGGGAAGCTTGAGAGGAGATTGTAGAACAATCTCTGAAAATATTTAATACGTAACTTATGATATTAGATTAATTTTTAATATTTAATTATAATTTTTTATAGGAAAAAATTGTAGTTTTTAATTAGTTTTCATTTTTCTAATAATTTATGATTTGCTTCTTATCAGCGTCTACATAGAGAAAAAAAAACTCTTACCTCCTACCCCTAAATGATTTTTTATTCACTATTCTTAAAGACTATATGATGACATGTACATTCCCCCCCCCCCAGCATCTCGCTATTGCTTCTTATTAGTATTCTCCTTCATTAAATACAAATTTATAATTATACTATAATACCGCCCCCCCCCTCCCTCCCAATACAATTGTAATATACATGTTTATAATATATGATAAATATAATATTAATATGGATAAAATATAGTTAAAATTTATGAAAGATTTATGTGTACATTTATTATATATTTATAATAATATAATAATAGTTTTATAATATTAAAATGATTTATATTTATATATAATAATTTATACAACACTATGAATATATAAAACTTGTAATATTATAATTATATAATAAAAGTAATATAATAAAATGATTTATATATTTATAATTTATAAAATTATTTACATTTTAATAATTTATAATAATTTATATATTATTAGACTTCTTAAGGTTTACATTCATTTAATTCTTTGCTATTACGATTCTCGCTATTTAGAGGTAGAACCATCATATCAAATATATGGCGGCCATTTTTGTGAACATTATTGTTAATATTCACATTTTTCGCTATATTGATACTTGATATTTAGGTCTCTTGCCATTCTAATTCATATAAAAAAATAACAAAAGTACATTTCTATTTTTTTTTAAAAATATGCAGAGTTTTCGATCAACACAAACTAAGCAGGGAACAATGGGAGGAAAGGATCATCAATTGGTATGCCGAGCACCGGGGCATGTTGAGGTTGAAATTAATTATACTTTTTTTTCAAAATATAATTACATAAGAATAATATTAAAATTTTGACAATTCTATATGAATCGCATTTAATTCGCTGAACATATTTATGATTTGAATTATTTCGATCCACTATTACAAAATGAACTAATAATTATTTCAAAATACATCATGCAAATGACACGTGACATATTCGTTGGCCTAATTAATATAAACCTATGCTCTGGAATCTTTCACAACTACTATCAGTCAGCCATGCATAAATTTCTAAATTTCGCGAGTGTTTTAAATGTGTGATTTCGTCATAATTGTGATTTTTTGATTAAAAATACCCCACATGTGTGACGAAGAGATAATCTCCATACCGATTTTACTTTATCATATAAAACTACGAATTCATACTTAAACAAAATATATATTGACAGAGAGGACGCCATGATGGAATACCTCAAAATAGCTCAAGATTTGGAGATGTATGGTGTCAATTATTTCGAGATCAAAAACAAAAAAGGCACCGACCTATACCTTGGTGTAGATGCTTTAGGCTTGAATATATACGAGAAAGATGATAGGTTACATATTTTTAGAGATCTTATGAAAAAAAATATGATTAAATTTATTTGATTGATAGGGGATGTATACAAGGTAAACAATTCAATGTTAAGTGTATTCATTTATTAAGAAGTCTTAATTTTTTTTAGAGATTATTCTACAGTCTCCTGTGAATTAGTTACTATATATTAAAGTTTATAAATGAGGATTTCTATTATCGAGCATACTTTCTTTATGAAAACCTTAAATCCCTAACAAGCTATCAAATTCAATCCATAAATTCCAAAAAATGTTTGATAACGACCACCTGATCAGCTGATAGACTTTGCAAAAATTTATCGTTTATTTTTGTTGGTTAAACATTGAATTAAAAATATATATTAATAAAATTTCATTGGCTTTTAGGTTAAATCCAAAAATCGGTTTTCCTTGGAGTGAAATCAGAAACATATCATTCAGCGATAGACGTTTCGTAATCAAACCCATTGACAAAAAGGCTCCCGTAATAATATATAATTAAATTTGAGTTGCCATAAACGAGATTTATAAAATCTTTATTTAAAATAATATTGCTTTTTATTTGCATGAAAATTAAAACTTCTTTCTTATTTTGAACAAAATCATGTTGTTATTTAGAGTGTTAGGTGACATGAAAGATTTATAAGGTAACCCGAAAAGTTTAATTTTTCCAGTTACTTCCCATTAAATCTAATCTTAAAATTATGCAATATATTCACGTAAAAGGATTTCATCTTTTTCGCTCCCCGCCTAAGAATCAACAAGCGTATTCTGGCGCTTTGCATGGGTAACCACGAATTGTACATGAGGAGGAGAAAACCGGACACCATAGAGGTTCAGCAGATGAAGGCCCAGGCTAAGGAAGAAAAGGTGGCCAAGGAACAGGATAGGTTTAAATAATCTCCATTCATTTTTCATTCAACCCTAGCCTCCCTCTCCAATTTAATATTTTTCATAGTCAATTGAGAGATACTACATGTACACAGGCATTTATTCTTCCTATTGTATCAACCTATTTTGTCCTCAAATAAATTTTATTGTTAAGAATTATTTGCTTTTCTACTTATTATTATTAAAGAAATTTCGTTTAAAAACAATCAATCTTAAATATACTGGTGTTAAAATATTAATTTTTAATTTTTACCAGGGCCCGTCTTCAGAAAGAAAAACAGGCCAGAGAAGAGGCCGAACGGATAAGAGGAGAATTAGAAAAGAGACTGATGAAGATGGAAGAAGAATTTAAACGGCTACAAGAATGTAAACACTTACGATTATTTAAAAAATAAAATTTAAAGGGCGAGTCATCCTGATAAGCTCTCCCTACCCAAAATCAATCCAATTTTTCCATATGGTTGCAACTTACATACTTTCCTAATAATAAGATTGATAAAGTGGCCAAGCTGGGAAATTTCCCTCATTTATTAGGTACCATTTCAGGTTCTATCTCAGTGATATTAACCCTTCGACAAAAAAAACAGCATCTGGGTTCAGAGATAAAATTAAAAAAAGGGTTGGATGTTCAGGATTAAACATGAATGCTCGGGTTACATCTCTGATCTACCTAAAGATCTTTTATCATTTTATCTAGCCTTTACTTACTTGATTAAATATCAAATTTATCAGACATAGCTACACAGCAGCCATTAAATGGAGACTTGTTGATCATAATTCAGCTTTGCTTTATATAGTGTGACTCTTAGAGAAATGATCTATTATTATAAATTCGAGAATTAATTTTTTTGTTAAATTACATTTTCCTGGGTGAATTACTCTTATTCAAGGTTGACAAGGCGGTCATTTGACCTGGTCAAATATGGTCAAAAAAATATTATTGGTGAAATAAATATATTGATTTAATTAACTATTCATGCTTATCAATATAAATTTGTATCATCAAGAAGACATTGATTTAATTATAATTTTATATTAAAGTATAAGATTTTTATTAAAATATTAGAATTTCTTAAAATATAAAATTGAAAGAATTTTTCTCATTAATAATTGGATTGGATTTCAATACATAAATAAATATGACAATTTTATTACATTATGTACAATTATCCAAACATGATGGGCATCATCATTAGAATGTAAGAGCAAATACAAATATGCAAAGCTCTGAAAACAGCTGTTGAAGTAGTTGGATATTTGTTCAAAAGGAATTATCAATATATATTAAATGAAGAAATATTTTGGACGAAAATTTGAAACCATTCTTTAACCTCTATTTATCTAATTGTTGTAAGTGCAAATGGATACATACACTTTATCCCACATAAAAAACAAGATGTTTAATTTGGAAGACACATAATCATGCCATGATTTTATAATTTCTCTACCCGAAGAAAAAATAAATTAAAGATACATTTGAAAAAGAAAAAACAATCCAAATACATGTGCTATTTATTGGATTCTCAAAATAAAAGAAACATCTTACTAGTAGTGAGTTTGATGAAATATGTTATATAATATAAGAATTAGACATTTTAAAAGGTGATGATAATTAAAATAAGTGATATAATTTTTGTAAGTAAAACGGCGGTATATTTAATGGCCAAAATATGTGTAAAACAACTTAATTTCGGTCTCGATTTGTTGAAATGGGCTTTGTCCACCTTGAACCTGTGTCTAATATCATACTAACATTCCTAGTTATACTTATTTTTCGTAAGAAATTGATCGGTTTTGGGTAATATTTATACGAAGAAAAGAAATCGATTTAAGATCTCGACAAACAGAAAATTGGTAAAAGTATATCATAACCTTAAAGAAAATGATAATATTGAATATAAATCCCTAACAAGATTCTCCCATAGAAAGCGAAACATTAATTATGGAATTTAAAATAATTCATTTTTTTTACTAGTTTAATTTGTCTTAAAAAACATTTATTTGAATTTGACCATTCAAATATCGGTCATTTGACCGAATGCTATTTGAGCCGGCAAATGTACGACCATACTCTTATAGCTCATTCACCCCCTAATATATTTACCCCCTCCATCTTCTCTTTTCTATTCATAGGTCTTAAAGAATCGCAAGAAAAGACGGAAAAACTAGAAGAACAGTTCGAGGATGCCGAGAAAAGGTCCAGGCAACTCGAGGAAGACAGACGTAAGCTGGAAGAAAAGAAAATGCTAGCCGAACAGTCGGCCCACTTGGAAAAGGAGGAGAGAGAGCGATTGGTATTATACGATTTAATAAATACAAACATATATACATTATACTCTGCCTTTATTCAGTTATACCCACTCTCGTTATTTATCTTAACATAATACAGGGAAATAGTGATGTATATCAATATGATCCATATTATTATTTATAATAAATGAAAATAGACAGCAGAAGCTGAGGAAGCCCTGCGAGGCATCCGCGAGAAGGAAGCGGAAATGGCCCGGGTTGAAGAAGATCGAAGGCGCTTACGTGAAGAACTGGCTCAATCTAAGGTCTGTATTTTTTTCATAGAATTTTAACATTAATAATATATAGGGATACAAGTTTATAAGTAAACTGTTTTCTTAAATATAAAAGAATTAAATGTTTAGCATTTTTTTATCAGGCGATCTTTTTTGAAACTGCCTTTAAAGCAATATACATGGTAACCTTTTCTTAAATTATTTGTATAAATGAAATGTATTATTTTGATATCTATCTAAAACTATACTAATATTCTTATTATACATAAAACAAATGTAATTAATTTTTTTTTGAAAATATATCGCATCATGATTTAAATGATTTATTTTACAATATTAAAATAACTGCGAATGGTTTAATTTATATGACATAACGAAGAACACGGTTTGACATTAGTATTCTGGATTTCCCAGGGGCTTGACTACCCTGAGCATCTCTGACTGAAGATAGGACCTTGTTTTTCTCGTGTTATTTATTGATCATCAATTCCGTTTAATTTTTCCCGTCTTCTCACTCATAAAATTTAAACATTACATATTTATGAAGCGATCCCAAGAGGAAGCACAACACGCCCTCTTGCGAGCCCATTTACAACCACCTCCCGAATCCCACATGAATAACGAAGGAGGGTCTCTTAAAGACGAAGATGAGGACGACTACGAAGATGATGGGAAGTATCATAATGGGAACGGGATGGCCAATGGTCGGGCGATGGGTAATATATATATAAATCTCGGAAATTTTAAGAAATTGTTTTAATGAGGGAATTTTGCTTTCATTCATGCATTCATTCTTTCATTCATGTATTCATTCTTTCATTCATGTATTCATTCTTTCATTCATGTATTCATTCTTTCATTCATGTATTCATTCTTTCATTCATGTATTCATTCTTTCATTCATGCATTCATTCTTTCATTCAAAAAATTAGGGGGAGATCTAAATTACAACGAAAACATGATGAATAACGACGAATACAGACAAGAAGAGTTCCGCGTCACACAGTTAGAAAAAAACGAAAAAATCCAATCTCAATTAAAAGTACCCTATTAATAAATCATAATTACCCTTTTAATCATGGTTTATCTCAAATTAATGTATACATGAGTGCTTTATACAAAGAAAAATTTGTAAATTGATAAATTCGATATCTTATCTCTATAAACTAGATATATAATATACTTTATCACGACTTTTTATTTTACATAGTCACTAGGTGCCGACCTAGCCGTTTCAAAAGACGAAGAAAAAATAACCAAAAACGATATGATCCACACGGAAAATGTCAAACAAGGCAGGGACAAATACAAAACTCTTAGACAGATCAGACAGGGAAACACCAAGATGAGAGTCGATATGTTCGAATCTATGTAGAGCCCACCCTTCAGAATTGCTGCCTCCAAATTTTTTTATATATAAAATTCACTACCAGATACATCTTTTTCTTTACAAATGAGATATTTCTTTGAGGGTACTAAATTAACACTATTCCATTTTACAAAAAGTTTTTTTTTATTCAAACCGCGGAATATCAATTTTTTATTATAATACCATTTTCTCTCCTCATACTTTACCTGTTATTTTAAATATTTAATTCTAATATTTAATATTCCTACTCTAAATCTCGCTCATTTAATAATATGAAGAATAGATTTATTATTATTATTATATAGATTTTTTAAATTTTTTTTTTTTATGTTGCGTTAAACCAAACACATTGTGCCTAAAATAATTTAGAAATTATTGTTTTAAAACAAGTGCTTTGCCAGAGATAAATATTTTCCACAAAATGGGTTCTTTAACCGTAAACAATTTTTAAGAAACATAGTTTTGTTATGGGGGCTGCTCATTTGACCGATATGAAAACTGCGATAATTTCTACCAATATCAAAATTGATCATTTTTTTTATATAAAAATCAAAGTAAAATTGAAGTATTGCAAACCTTTTGACCATATTTAAGGAGACATTACATTTTGTGTTCATTTCTCAACAATTCATACTTAAATTACCTTTATAAAAAAATGTTTTTTTATAAAAAAAAAAATTATATTTATAAAATAAAAATTAAATATTTTGTAATTTTTTTTGCTAGATTTAATTATTGTAAATATATAAATTATGTATTATTATATATATATATAAATTATCCATCCAATTTAAAATTTTCTTGCCTACAACCAACAATTTTTATATTGAAATTAATTAAAAAAGGTAATTTTTTTTATCTTTTCTTACACAACGTTAGTTTAAATTTAAGATTATTTATAAAAGTTATTTTGAAATAATTTTTTAAAAGAATAGTTAGCCAAGTGCGGTAATTCATTCATGAGAGACCCAATAATTCCATATTTATTTTTCAAACTTATTTTTCGTTTTTAATTATATTCCGACATTTAATCATTCACATTCATCATATCAACTATTACTTCTTATGTTTTTTCAAATTATACATTTTTTTTTTATCATTCTCTCTTTTATAAATACGATAAGAAGATTTAAATAAATAGTAAGATTGTTTTTTTCATAATATATTATGTAGAACAGAATTCATAAAATGAAAATTTCATCAGATTTAAATTATCGATAAAAAAATTTACGTTTATATTCGAAAATAAAAACCTGAAATTAATCAAAGCTTTTGTAAAAAAAAATTTCCATCTGAATGCTAGTAAAATCTAGCCTTGTTAATTGGCTTAATTTTCAAAGACGGCTAATGGAAATTTTGTTCATAGATGGCAGTAAGGTCATCTATAAACAAAATCTCGAGGCTTGGATAATATTATTTTGGCTAAAGTCTTAATTACTTTCTTTCGCCATATGGATGTAAGTGGTAGTGGATGACGTGAGAAAAATGCCGCTCACAAATTTCTAAGCCCATGACCATGGAGGATCAAACCTAGAAATCTAAAACCGTTAATGGTGGCTCCTATTTTTTTGCCCTAAGAAAGTTTGATTTTTTTTATAACTCATGCCCTATTAATATCAACCCGATATATTATTAATAGCTTCTCTAATTATCTTTATACCATAATATATCGTGAATTTTATTCCAATTACGAAATTTTTTAAACAAGATTTTTTCGTATTGAATAATCTTTAACCTATTTAGGATGAAGGTGGCATTAATACAAGGTAAATTTAGGTTTTATTTATCACACAACTCAAGGCCTACCAAAAATCGAATTGAATATAAGTATTCATATAATAAGAATAAAGAATGGTAATTTTAAAAAAAAATCGAACATATTTAAATTGCATTAATATATCATATACAAATATGATAAAAATAACTATATTTAAAGTAGTCTTTTAGTGATTACAATTATAAGCGTTTGCGATTCAAAGGAAAAAACGTATGCACCATGTAGACAGCCCACATAACCATAAATGTTAAAGGGTCATCGAACAATTATCGCTTGAACCATAATGAGACCACTTTAACTTTACCCTCCACCAATTTATCCCAGATCCAAATCTTCCTCTATCATCATTAAATGTGTAGTCATAATAACTTGTCCATATTGACGGACTCTCCCCTTTGTAAATTTAATCTGCTGGGCAACTATTCCTAATGGATTACGTCTAATCTTTAACTTAATAGAGGGTGGCGACGTTGCTAACCTATAGCCCCAATTCAGCCTCATATTTCTTGATTTGTTGCTAGCCCATAGCCACAGCGTAATATATAATTATGTTAATTAACCATGTTTTCATCAGTATCGATTTTGATATATATTCTTTATTTCTTTCCCTACTATATCCTAAATTCCATATTTTTACATTAATTTTCCTGGTCTCATAACCAATAACCTAATTGCCATATTTTTTTTCAAATATCTCAATTTCTTCAATTTAAGTTTGATAATATACCATCAATTTCTTCCAAGGTCACATTGTGAACTAATTTTCATAAAACATTAAATTCATCAAATTTTATAATATTTTCAATAAATTTAATATCATAATTATTTTATAATATTTTCAATAAATTTAATATAATAATTTTTTAATAATCCCATTAAATTATTATTAAAATATATCAGATTTCCAAATAATAACATAGAATTATAAAAAATTTTAATAAATCTCAATTCCAATATTTATTAAACAACGTCAATAATCATAATTTAAATTTTATCATATTTTCCAAATTAATATCCATTTGTTCCATTATATTCCATTCATTATAATAAGATTTCATAATATTATCACCAAATTAATCAAAATTAACATAAAATTTAATCACTTCTATACCTATATGAAATTACACCAAATTAACATTATTCATGTCATACTTTAATATTTTTATGATCACAAAATTTCCATTTGAAACCATTTATTAAATTATTATAAGATTTTAAATTAATACTCGTTCATATTTGTCCTTCATTACTTCCCGACTTTCTGACGTCTTCGCCTCCGTCACTTTTTGCTTTTTTCGCTGCCGTCCTACCTCCATTTCCCCAATTCCTCTTTCCTCCTCCTTTCTCTTAATATCCCAACTATTATCGCTACTTGTTTCGCTCCTAGAATTGTTTTTCCTTATTTCGCTCCTTGACTTATTTTTACTTGTTTCTCTCCTTAAATTATCTCTCCTTGAACTATTTTTCCTAGTTTCGCTCCTTAAATTATCGCTCCTGGTTTTGCACTTAGAATTATTTTCTCTGGTCCCCTCATTAAACATGGTCTCAATTCCTGGCCACGCATTCTTTCTCAAGGTCATAACGGCATACTCCTCACTCGTGATTGGTACGAATATACCCCACCACGAAAATACCCCCCAAAAACTATATAATGGACCAATCCTAGTAATCCAATCCTCCCAACGCCGCTTTTATATTCCTATTGATAACCCATAAATCTAATATTTTAACCCTTTCCACCAATGTTGCTACAATCTCCATACCCATCGCAGTCAACAGGGTCCCATCGATTTCTTATTCTTAACCCCTCATTCTCTATCAAGCCACTGGGCTAAATACTCTGATATTCATTATAACCAATTACTGAAATGGCTGCTTCCGTATCAAACAACATGGGAACCATTCTCCCACCTAAATTTATCTTCACTCTGGGACACGAATCATGTACTAGACCCTCTTGTAGCATATTTACACATCCCTCTTTATTTGTTTTTCTCTGATAAAACTTCTCTTTTGTCCCTTTCAACCGCCGTGCCTCGACCCGGCTTGCAGATTTTTTGCCATCATACAGTCACAAATTTTTAGAGTCCATCGCTACATGACCCTCCTTTCGGCCTCGAAATCCATATTTTTCCCCTCCCCTTTCTTGATATTTACTGCTCGAACTCTTTCCCCTTTCTCCCACTCAATCGTCCTCACATTCGAAGCACTCGGCCCCATTTCTCTCTTGGGAAAACAGTTTTTATTGTCATAATTGCTCGTTGCACTCCTCTTTATTATTTGCAAATCGACTACAACCCGCACATCTTAATCTCTCCTGCCTACCTGGACAATAAGGAGCTATATGTCACAACTTTCCACAACCAAAACATCTTGCCTCGCGGCAATCTCTGAGCATATGACCTGGTTTACCACAATTATAACAACTCGTTACTCCTCTTCTTCGCGACTTAAAATTTTGTCTTATCTCCAATCTTCTTCCCCGAGAATTTTCTCTAGACTCTCTATACGGTCGTAATTCTTGATTATCCTCGAAATTATGTTTATCCGAATTATATAAATCTTTACTTATATCACTATCCGTCCACCCTTTAATTAACTCCTGAACAGGTAACCAGGTTACTTTACCCATCTTATCGTCCTCTCCATTATGTCCCCCAATGGTCAATGTTTGTCCTTTTATTCTTACGCTGCGACTCCTCCTCATTCTCCTGCCCCAAACTAAACTACATACGCATATTAATAGTATAACCATTGCACCAAAAATATTATATTGTATCTCCCAGTATTTAACAAATATTATATTGTATCTCCCAGTATTTAACAAATTTTAAACTTTTCATCTCAGCGATATAAAAAATTTATGATTAATTTCAAAATAAAAATCTTGGCTATTTGCAATGTCAACAAGTAAGATATTATAAGTAGCGTAAACAAACTAATGATGCACATATACATCCCCAATTTTCAAAATAAAAATTAACCTATTTCCAATACGAGATTGTCTACTCCACGTCTTTAAATTATATAATATTCTTCAAAATGAGCAACAATTAGTGTAATTGATTTATTATGTAAATTTTTGGCAGCACTACCGTGTAATTGGATTATTTAATAAAATTTGGGTGATTTTCGTCTAATAGGTTTATATATGCAAAAATTTGGGCAGCACTTCCGTGTCACTGGCCTTTTTAATAAAAATTTGGGCAGCACTTCCGTGTACCGGGATCCTATTCGTGTAACTAAATTTCTCGAATTTACTCTTATGCAAACCTGCCCTTATGGCCTTTATATTAATTCCTGGAATTCAGTCTGATGCTAAACTGCCCTTATGACCTTTCTATTAATTCATCTATTTGTTCTAATGCAAACCTGACCTTATGGCCTTTCGATTAATCCTTCTAACTCTGATGCAAACCAGCCCTAATGGCCTTACAATTAATCCTTCTATTTGCTCTAGAGCAAACCTGCCCTTATAGCCTTACGATTAATCCTTCTATATGCTCTGATGCAAACCTACCCTTATGGTTTTCTATTAATCCCTGAAATTTGCTCTGATGCAAACCTGCCCTTATGGTTTTCTATTAATCCCTGAAATTTGCTCTGATGCAAACCTGCCCATATGGCCTTTCTTTTAATTCCTGGAACTTGCTCTGATGCACCTGCCCTTATGGCCTTTCTATTAATTCCTGGAACTTGCTCTGATGCACCTGCCCTTATGTCCTTTCGATTAATCCTTCTATTTGCTCTGATGAAAACCTGCCCTTATGGCCTTTTGATTAATCTTTCTATTTGCTCTGATGCTAACTTGCCCTTATGGCCTTTCTATTAATTCCTGTATTACAAACTTTATGCCAAAGCGATAATGGAAGAACAGTCCTGGCCACCACCTAAACTGTTTGGTCGCAAATATTAAATTGATTGATCTCACTATGATTGGTTTCTAATACTATATTGACTGGTCTCACTAAATTGATTGGTTTCAAATACTAAATTGATGAAAACTAACAATGCCAAAAAAAACAGATAATGATTTTATTATATTTTTCTTTTTTTATTTATCTATTTTCTACAAACAAACCATAATAATAATAATACAAACAAAAATAAATATGTCAACAAAAAAAATCGATAAAAATAAAATATTACTATAATTAATATATATGAAATATCTCTACTCTAATAATAATTAAAATAATACAAAATATCATCACAATATTATGGGTATTTTTTAAGCCGTTTATATCTGCTACATTTTAGATGAAGACTGCGGATCTCATATAATTAGAAAAAAATTTCTTAAATAAAATAAAATGGGCAAATACAAAGCTAAGGATAAAATAAATTAACTTTTAAGTTATACAACAATTTTATTTCTAGAATATATGATATTTTTATATTTTGATTAAATAGTTATCGTGTTTTT